ATTTCCACATTTCAATTTTTAATTTTTCTTTCATAATTTTGTCCTCAGGATTACAATCTGTATCATTATTATTATGATTATTAAGAAAGTAATGAAACATAGTTTCGTTATTATTAAGTGTATTATTTGGATTGTAGCTATCTAATTTCTTCAATTGTAACTTGTAAGGAGAATTTCCCACCGAAGCCAACCGCGACCCTCTTGCTACAAATAGAGTTCACATCGCACATGTGAAAGAACTTTTGTAATACGACCAATGAGGAAAGCGGACGGTGGCCACGCACCGACGCTTTTTCCCACGCGTCTGCCACGTAGTGACGCCGGTGCTCCTCAGCGTCGATCCCTAAGACGATAATAATGACATTATAAGACAATTAGCATTAAGAAAAAATAGAACTTTTTGTGCTATCTTCTATTAGATTCAACTGATAATTGGGACAATATATAGACAAAAATTAAAAATGAAATAACAAAATTTATAATCCTTTTAATCAACTAAATTATTTTGATTTTGGAAGTACACGTGGGTACGTCTCCCAATAAAATAACCCTACAAATTGCTAATACAAAAAATATTGTAGCGAGCACAAGTGTGTTTGTGCGCGATCGAGCACACGTGTGCCTGAACGACTTATCGATTCGCCATTCTTCATGTGCGCCGTATACGTAAATGTGTGTGTCGTACCTGCGTTCTGGGGAAGCAGTTAAACAGTTCAAAGAAAAAAAGAAACTATCTGGATGTTTCGAGAAGGTTCCCGAAAGTAAACAAAAGAGTATTTAAAGGAAGAGACGATCGCCGAGAAGGGAAGAAATAAATTGACAGTGATGGAAGTGAAATAAATAGCACAGTGAATAGTGATATATCAACATTAGTGTAAATAAATAGTTTTTGTCGTTATCAGTCTTAGAAGTTAATTTTGTTAAACCCACGAACATTACAATATGCTTACTAATAAGTTTTGCTCTTGTTCGTTCAACGTTGGACGTAGTCGTACAACATAGCCAATTAGCCTACGTCTTACTAAATTTGCGCGATTAGGATAAGACACGACATAGCTACAAGACCAAGACTATTCTTGCTCGTCACTAATCACTTTAACCCTCCCATAATTCCCTTTCCAACAGCGGGTTCCATATTGTAATTTTTACATTTAGATATTCATCCCAAATAAATATTTTAAGGTTCTTTTAATTTAAAGGATTTTTCTTATTCTCAGAAAACAACGAACTTACAACAATAATAGTACCTAGTAGGTATAAAATATTAAAGGAAGTAGGTTCATTAATCTTTATTATAATGGCGGAATAAGAATTGCTTATCTGTTATAATTTCGTTTAACAACTTGTTGCTCTGTCCTTAATAATGTAAAAGAGACCCATAAAAAGGACTGCTTGGATATTTATCCGCATTCCTGATACCTACTACGCTGGCTTAGAACCTCATCATAATTACTTTTAATGAGTAGAAATTGCATCTTGAGGCAATATTTATCCTAGAAGCGGTACCTAGAACACTTGTATACCCTACCATAAATATCGTTTTTTTACTCATGCATGTTTCATGAATAGCTCGTGATGACGATGATGTTCGGTGACGTGTTCTAAATTATAAGCGATCCAAGAACTTGAACGAATTTTACATGAAAATATAATGACGGCGCAGGTATTTGAGGAACTTGAAACTAATAATAAGATTTTCAAAATTACAAGCCAAAAAGGATATCTAATAAATCCTAATAAGTCCACCAATAAATAGGACAAATTATTTTTTTGTAATTGTTATAATAAATATAAAAATTACGATTTTTACGAATTTTATCCTTTGAAATATTTTTTTACAATGTTTGCTGTATCTGTTGTTAGGCTTTCGACTTATTTTTAGTCAGCTAAAACTTTACAGTTTCAGAAACAATCGAACAAATATCTGTCATCGTTACAAATTCACAAATTTTAGTTTTACAATGTTGACGAATCGTGAAGAAATTGGCACCACTTATTTATGAATTTTGAATTTTCTTATGAGTTCTGTACTTCTATGGTTCTCAAAGGAGTGCGCATACAGTTTTGCATTTTTAATAACAAAATTTAAAAAAAAGGACATTTCCGAGTGCTTAATTCATGCTGAACCCTTTTAACGTAAAAAAATAATTCTGATAAGGATAAGAAATAACTTTGAACAAAATTTGAAAATTTTGAATGATTTCTTTGTTCAAGTTTATCTTTCGGTTTGTTCATTTTAAATTTCAAATTCATCATCATCATAAGGTCGTCAGTTATAAGACTGGTTGGACACCCACCTCCACTCTTTCCTGTTCTGAGCTAATCTTCCCATTTCCCTAAAACTAGAACAATCCAAATCCTTAACTATTTTCGAATTTCTAAATTAACCGTTCGCGAGCATAGAAGTGGTCCCTTTTTACTGAAGGCGACTCAACCCTGCGCTATTCTCTGCTTTATATCCCTACTACTCCTTCCGTCCTTCATACATACCGAAAATCAGCCACTTTTAATTTTTCGTCTCCTATCTTTATATTCGCTCTTTCTCTACGTTTTCTTCCCTTCTATACCAGTATTTTTGTTTTATTTTTATTTATTTTCATACAGTACTGTTTTGTCAATACCGCTTCCATTTTATTCAAAGCTATCTCTAGGTTCTCCTTGCTAGATGGTAATACTGCTATATCATCTGCAAATCTAAGCATACTAATCTTTTGCCCCTGTATACCTATCCCTACAGTTGTACTGTCTTTAATGGTGTAAATCGCGTCTTCGATGTATAGATTAAAAAGTAGCGATGACAGTGTGCATCCCTGTCTGACTCCCTTCCTAATATTTACTTCTCTACGTTGCATCCCTAGCTCTATAACTGCCTGTTGCTCTTTTTACAAACTAACTATCACTCTTCTACCTCTAAATTCATCATTACCATTGGTATAATTTCTGCTTATGTATGATGGGTATTGTTTTCAGGTACAATTTCTTCTACATTGTTTATCCTACCTCCAAAAGGAAGGTCTACTTGTCCAACGTAACAACCTCCTTGTTCCAAAGGTAAGCTCCAGAATTTTATAATTTTTTAACACTTAATAGCAATTTTTATAAATCNCCTAAATAATTATTATCTACAAAGACCATTCTAAATAGCTCAAACCCCAGCAGTCTTCTATTTTGCATTTACTGTATCGGAAATGTTTTTGAACATTTTCCTTTCCTTTTACAATTAGTAAAAGATATAAATTAACAGCTCAAGCTCAAGGTGTTAACCATAGGAATTATACCTGCAAATTTAACTAAAAGAGAAACTGGCACTTCTACGTCTTCATTTTTGTAGTAAAGAACATTGTAGTAGCACGTGCTTTTGCTTAAAATTGTGTCATCTCTAGGCGATAATCTTGCGTGAAATTGCTTCCGAGACAGAATGACACGGACGTAGAGACGAAATAATCGATTGCCTTTTTCATATACCTCCGAACATTGGAAGAGGTCGAAAAACCTCTTCTAAGAAATTGATCTTTTGTTACATAGGTCATGCTTTTTACTTTGGGACTAAATGACATGTAATAACGTTAACATCACGTAAGAGCAAAATACCAATCTAACGTAGAAGATTTACAGGTTGACTTTTCCTTATTAGTGTTTTATTAACATCTTTTTTAATGAAAGACAATCAATATTTTTGAAAATCTTTTCACTTCTGCTTCACATTGTCAGTCTACGTCATGGTTCCTCACTTCATGTTAAAATCAAACTTATTTTATTGGAAATATATCTACAGAAATATTCATTTTTAACTTACCGCACTCTTATATGCTTAGGTCCCTAAAACGTCTACATTCATCCACATTAATTGGGAGTTTTGTAACTATACAACACATTTATGTAATACGCGCAAATCTCATCTCAGTCTATTCTAAACGTTTTTCAATATTCCTTTTGTAAATTCAAATCTGTAATACCATTAAGGAATGTTCCCATACTAATCGACCTATTTTTTCACAACTTTTTTTGCCCTCTCCCTTTGGAGACCCCCCCACTCCCCGCTCCAGTTTTCACATAGTAATTCTACAATCATTTTTAGTAAGTTAGAAAAAGTTATTTGGCTCATATTTGTCTTTTAATCTATACATCGAAAACGTGATCAACATTATTAAAGATAGTACAACTGTAGGGATAGATATACAGTGGAAAAATATAGCAGTATTAGCACCTAGCAAATGGATGCGGTACTGACAAAACAGTACCGTATGAAAATAAATAAAAGTAAAACAAAAATATCGGTATGCAAAGGAAGAAAAAGTAGGAAAAGAGCGAATATAAAGATAGAAGATGAAAAATTAGAAGAACTGGCCGATTTTAGGTATCTAGAATGTCAAATAAGTCAGGACGGAAGGAGTAGCCTTCAATAAAAAGAAGTCACTTCTATGTTCGCGAACGTTTAGTTTAGAAATTCGAAAAAGATTGTTAAAGGTGTATGTTTGGAGCGTGGCGCTTTAGGGTTGCGAAACATAGACAGTGGACGCGGCGGAAAAGAAAAGATTAGAAGCGTTCGAAATATGGTGTTACAAGCGAATGATGAAGATACCGTGGATAGAGAAGGTTACAAATGAAGGGGTATTTGAAACAATAGGAGATCAGAAAATTATATGGAAGTCGTCAATATGAAAAAGGCGAGATAGGTTAGCAGTACACCAAAAAAAAAACTTTTGGGTGTTTCATTCCCACCAGCCAGTAATGCTGGTGGGCGGGCAGTCCCTCCGGACTACGCCGGAAGGTAGGAGACTAAAGGCCCTCTTCAGTCTGCTTTCAGGAATAGTAGGAATAGGTGGGCGGTGGTTCGAGTGAGAAAGATGAGATCGACGAAATGAAGACAGAAGAATGAAAGATTATCTATGGAATTCAGCATTTGCCTAAGTGATCCAAGGAAACCACAGAAAAACTTGGACCAAGGTAGACGGACCTAGATTAGATTACTGTTCGCAAATAGTTAAGGATGTGGATTGTTTTAGTTTAAGGAAATCCGAAGATTAGCTCAGGATAAGACGGAGTGGAGGTGCGTGTTCAACCAGTCTTAGGACTGACGATCTTATGATGATGACGATTTGTCTTTATTAATACGGCGCTTTTCGCGTGACGCCAAATGTGAATATAGCTCGAAAAAGCTTGAAATTTCCCTAACGGTATTAACTAAGTGACCTTTAGCTAAGTCCCCCACCCCCACCGCCGTTTCCAATCGTGGTATTTTTGAAAACTCCGGTCCCCCTGTCGAGTCACATAATATGGGTTTTAGTTTTCTTAGTTTTCTATGCAGAAAGATTTTAGGACTTACCAACTTTTAGAATTCAAGTATGTATTACATACTTATGACATTTTAATTATTCAATTTTGCATTGAAACTTTTAAACTTCAATTAGCCAGCATTGTGTGTATAGGAGAAATCCTGCAAGGGAACATAAAATGTTTCCAGTTATTTATCATTAAGTATACAACTTACTTACTTAATCAAGTCGATGTTTAGAAGCCAATTTCAACAATCTTTTCCAATTAACACGGTTTTTTAAAAACGTAATTATGTACATATACTATGAGTTGGATACTTAAAAAGTACCGTAAATTTAACAAAAGACGCTTGGCAAACCTGTACATGTAAGATCAAAACCGGTTGCTTGTATTATTATTATTATTATTATTATTATTATATGGTAATGTTTTAGAATTTATAAGACTTGACGTTTTATTCCCATTGAATTACCATATCTTCTTGTTTGTTTGTGAGAGTATTATGAAAATTATAAAGGCAGATAAAACAGGAGATAGAAACGCTTTTTTTACTTTTTGCTGATAAATGTCAAAATAAAAGTATTGTATTCAAATACAGTTGGTTGGAAAAGGCACTCTTAGAAAGCTTGCCAAATTGTAAGCTTCTTCTAATTTTTCAACCATGCATTCAAATTTGACGTCGACATCTCATTACGTTTAGAACAGATAGCTTTGCCACAATAATTGAAACAAAACCCTAAAGTGTACAAATACTTAACATTAGTTGATTTGAAGATTATTTTTCACAAAAAAGTCCGATATTGTACTAGGAAATTTATAAAATTAATGCCTTCTGTGAATAAAATGAATAAAACACGTTAGTAAACGGAGAATCAGGTAATCAATGGTGACGTTATTGTTTGGTTAGGTTAGGTTTGGGGATGTATATGCATTATAGTGTCGTTATTAGGTAGATTATTGACAGATTGGAGTTTCTTCAATGTCCCTTCCCACCGGAATAATGTCTTCGAAAAGTGTGCTTCATTATGATCTCCACGCCCAACATACATATGAAAATGATAAGCATTATCACCTCTACAACATTCAAATTCAAGGTTATCGTGTTTGCTGAAGCAAACATAACCTCTTTACATTCTTCTAACATCTAACATATCAGCCCGTCTCTGGAAGGCAGGGGCATTAAAGAAACTTCAATCTGTCATAAATCTCCTGTAGTACATTTCCGATTGCTATTTAGGAAATGTATACATTTTCTAGGAAATGTGTCTAATATAATTTATTTCACACATTTCTGGGCGATTTTTGTCAGAAACTTCTCCATAATTCTTCAGAAACCGATGAACTTACTGCAGACTCGACGTGTTCTCTGTAGCCGATTTTTCCTAAACATATTTTGACCATTTCCATATTTCTTACACCAAATTGCCTAATTATTCCGTCGTATAAATTAGTCGTGTCCGATAAAGAAATGCATGGAAACATTTTGAAATATTATATTACTGTACTTACTTGGACGGCACTATTTAAAAAACAGTTATTTTGACCCGGTCCATTCAAAAGCCCTTTGGTGCCAGTATAAATGACGGTGTCCCGTATCGAAGAAATCGAGGAGACAGTCGGTTGAGAATCAACGCCTACTGTGGCCATCTCGCCTTTCCTCATGTACCACTATGTTAATTCGTATCTGAAATTTAAATATTTTAATTAGATAAGTGAAAAACTATTAACATATCGCACCTAAATATGATCGAAAACTTTCGCCACTAGCGAACGAATACATTTAAATTAAAAATTAATAATCAAAATATAAACAATAAAATGAGACTTTATAAGTGATCTAGGCAAATCAGATTCAGAAAATTTTAAACTCAAAATTTCTCCCACAGTCCACAGGGAATTCCGATCCAAACTAAATCGTCAACTAATAATTCCAGAATATCCTATCATTAGCTGTATCAGCTGCACGAATTTCATCTATATAAACACTACTATGCATGGCTTATAGTATTCTTAGAAGCTTTTACTTGAAAGAGCACGTAGGTGAATCCTCAGAGGGTAATTAAAGAGCGTCTGTCTATCCGAAACTTGCTATTTTAAAATCTTCAATTTGTTTTTCCTTTAGAAACAAATTAGCACATCCATGTGTATACATACGGATATAACTTATGTGGAATCAAAGTAGGTAACCGCTGGCTTTCATCAGTGCCTAAAATTAAAGTCATTTTTTCCTTACGGCGATTTCTAAAAAGGTTAGAGAAACATTACGGTTTATTATATATAAATGGGCAGGGCCCAGTGTGTTTATTTTTTTGGTGTGTCTAAAGAACAGCATCCATTTTTTTTCTCGTTTAAGTATAATAGAAGCAATACTGTACTGAATAATTTTTTGTACCCTTGGTGATTTTCTAGTTTATAGGGTCGTTTCTAGGGAAGGGTTAGGGGGATGATGATGACCTTGCAGGACACCAAACAACATGTATCTAGGGGTGTTATTAAATTGTAAATGGGTGGAATTTGAAATGGGTAGAAATAAAATGATACCCTTGTAGAACCCTAAAACCCAAAAAATCCAAAATTCTAGAACATCTAAAATTAGAAAAAAGAAAAAACGTAATCTAACCTAATGTAATGTGTCACCAACAGTGAAAAAATTTTTGGAATAATCTTTGTCTGAAGCCCGACAAATAAAGAAAAAATAATAGATTATAACATTATAAAGCATTTGTTCTTTATTTACGCTTAATTAATTGCAACTTTACCAATA